GGGATCAGAAAATATATCACACTAGGTTTTGTAAATCTCAAAGGCCAGTTAAGGTAATTCCTGGTGATATTGTGTAGTACGCTATTTGTGATTTCTCTGCCCTGACTAGTTAATTTTAATTGGCCGCTGCAGCTGCCGGATTAAGTGTACAAAGGTGGCTTATATGTTAGCGAGGTATTTAAAGGCAGTCAGCGAATTGGAAATGGTTTTGTCTTTTGAGTGACTGCTTGTTTTGGGGACTGTGAGTGGGTGGGTGTTTGTGTTCCCGCATGGGCGTGTGTCTGAATAACTGGGCGTGTCTGAATTTATACATACCCGTATATACGTGCAGTTGTGCGAGGGCTTCAAATCCCCTGCGCTTAGTTGTTGTTGTTATAATGTTATTACTGCCCTTCAACAACGAAGGTCTTTAAGTGCGAACAAGTCCAACATCAATACAAAACAAAAATGAGAGATTGAACTCTATTATTCGCGCTTAGAGATCTTGACTAACATATAATTTAAGCAGTAAATTATTAAGCCATATATATATTGGTTATATATAACAAACGAGGAGGGTATGGTGGCCAAACTGGAACACCTTGCCCCAGTTGGCACCAGTCACCATATAGTGTTGTCATTCAGATTTAACTGTTACCTAGTTCAAGATAAGGCCAGGCCAAGGTGCAAATATTACAAGGGAAATTACAACGGGATGAGGGAAGAGATGAGGGGTATCCACTGGCCTGACTCATTAAGGCACAAGAACGCAGACACTACGCTGAATAACATAACTAGCAAAGTGACCCATTTGATCGAACTCAGTGCCTCTAGAAATACGAGGGGATCCCTACACATGAACCATGCGGCGGTCGACAAAGTTAAGAAGAAAACCCAGAAATTCAAGACGTGGATTGGGTCAAACGATGAGCAGGACAGGACGATGTATGCAAGAGCCAGAAACCAAGCAAAGATAGTGTAGAAGGGCTGAAAAGGAGTTCCAGAGGCTGGTTGCAAGCGAGGTCAAGTCAAACCCAAAGGCGTTTTACCGCTATGCAAAGTCGAAATTAAAAATGCGAGTAGGAGTATCAGACCTGAGGCTTGAAGATGGTACTTACGCAGATTCTGACCAGGATAAAGCTGAGGCATTGAACAGCTTCTTTTCCTCGGTGTTCACAAGAGAGGATGCGATTAACCTCCCTGCGTTTGAGGACAGATGGTTCGACACAGCACTGACCCACATTGTGTTCACAGAAGAGGGTATAAGGAATAAACTGTCTAAGCTAAAGGTCCATAAGAGTCCTGGCCCTGACATGGTTCATCCTAGAGTGCTAAGAGAGTTGTACAACGAGCTTGCCGAGCCCCTGAAAATCCTGTTTTGTAAATGCCTGGATGAACAAATGGTCCCCAGAGAATGGAAAGTGGCTTATGTGAGTCCTATCTTCAAGAAGGGCGATCGCCACTCCACGAACAACTATAGACCGGTGAGCCTGATCAGCATAATATGTAAAGTACTTGAGAGTATTATCAGAGATGCCGCGATGGAACATCTACGACGAAACAACCTTGTAAAGGATTGTCAACACGGTTTTATGCCGGGGCGCTTCTGCTTAGCACAATTGTTCAAGGTGTTGGATATTTGGACCCATATTCTGGAACGGGGTGGTAATATCGACAATATATACCAAGATTTTGCCAAGGCTTTCGACAGTGTACCCCACGAAAGGCTGAAAATCAAACTGGAAGGGTACGGAATTCGGGGAAATGTCCTAGCGTCGATAGAAGACTTTCTACTGTACATGACCGCAAGCAGTGTGTGGTGATTAATGGCACGAAATCATCACCCGTGCCTGTCACAAGCGGGGTACCACAGGGCAGTGTATTGGGCCCGCTGTTGTTTGTTTGTTTCATAAATGACATGCCTGACGTTGTACACTCCTCCATACAAATGTTTGCTGATGACGCCAAGTTATTTCGGGAAATCAAGAACCAAGCGGACTGTAAAGAGCTGCAGAAGGATCTCTGTGAGCTCCAAGAATGGTCGAAGAAATGGCTGCTGAGATTCAATGCCACGAAATGTAAGAGGATGCACCTGGGGCGTACCAACGGTAAGGAGGCGTATCATATGTCCCAACGGGATGAAGAAACTGCACTATTTGAGACTGAATGTGAGAAGGACCTAGGTATGTATGTTGACAATGAGCTGAAGTTCTCGGGCCATTGTGAGAAGAAGGTAAATCAGACAAATAAATTATTGGGTCTTATAAGAAATACTGTCACCCCGTCTGGTCCCCGAGATATGCTAGGGACTGTCAGTTGGTTGAAAATGTTCAAAGGAGGGCCACCAGACTGGTGCCTGCACTTCGGCACCTCAGCTACCCTGAGAGATTGGAGCGCCTGAACTTGCCCAGCTTATACTACAGACGGGCAAGGGGGACCTAATTGAGGTGTATAAGCATCTCAAGGGGCACTACTCAGTCGAGTGTCCTTACTTGGAGCTGGCGGACGCTCGCCCCACAAGGGGTCACAGCTCAAGATTGAAGACGCAAGTCCAGAAAACTGTGAGGGCAAACTTTTTCGGAGTGAGAGTTATGAACTCTTGGAACAATCTACCAGGCTTTGTGTGAAATATAACAAAGTCTAGGATTGCTTTTGGTTTCCTTGTGGCAAAGGTGGTAGCATTCCCTGGTCACACGCATAAGGTCGAGGGTTCGAGTCCTGGCTGGTGAGGTTGTTGATTATACTGTATGTTGAAGTTCGCGTGCTATATGGACTAAATGATATATATATATATATATATATATATATATATATATATATATATATATATATATATATATATATATATATATATATATATATATCATGAGTAATCGGGAAATATTTCTATGGTAACCCAATTCGTTACCAACATTATCTCATTGACTGACGTATTGTTTACCTGTATATAACTTATCATCCTGTAACTTACATAGGTAATTGATTGCTATAGGAATTTAGTATTAGAAATAAGTTACCAACTTTTCATAGATGAATGCATATAATCAAATTTTATGTTCATTGAAAGAAAATTAAAGTGTGCTTCCATTCAATACAGTAGTTTGTTTTCCTTTAGTAAATAAACTATAAGAAAACCGTCGTCTGATGTTTATGACCTATTCATGATGGCACATGTTACGGCATGATCAACGAACTGAGGATCAAGCGGGGCATAGTGTTTCGTCTTCAGCTAAATTAAACTTTTTGAGGCAGGAAAATTACCAAAGAGTTGGTCATGGGCATTAGTCGCTGAAGTAGGGATGCTTAATTGGAGTGGACAGAGGTGAGCATTGAGTGCATTATTGGCTGACAGATTGGTCATGTTGTCATCGACATAGTGTCTTTTGGATCGTGTTTTCGGTGTCTTAAATGTGATTGATGAATATGGCTACGTGATTTTGGTACCAGCGAATCACAGTTAGCGTTTTGGTTTACAGTTGTGCATTTTCGAAAATTACTATTCCACTTTCATCCCCAACTCAGATTTTTTTCTAGAGAGAATGCAGTACAGTATCCGATACGTCTCTAGGTGTCTGTAATTATGGTCTCAACGATTTATAAGTGATGAATTTATAATTATTAGTCTCTTGTCCATTGGTGTATTTTATGTACGTCTTATTAGTTTGAGGAATTGGAGTACTTCAGCGAATGTGTAAATTAATGGTCCAGTAAATGACTACATGAGATACTGTTTGTCTCTGTTGCTCAGGGGATCTCGTACAAGGTCACAAACATTATGGGATTACTTTCTTGACTGCAAAATTTTCCTGCTTGTCACCTCTGGCAATACTAGTCCAAGAGTTTCGACGAGCGAAGAAGCAGAAACAATGTCAAGTGGTTATTTGGGCAATTGTTAACCTTAACACGTTAGTCAACATCTGCCAGTTCACCTTGATGAATTGGCCATTAAACTTCTTGATCGTTAGATACAACTGATATGACTAAAATACTTAAAATGGATGATTTACAAAAAATATATAAAATAAATTGTGATCTTTATCCAGGTACATGTAAAAGTTTTGTCTACAACCATCGTGACGTACAAATTTTTAATAGCGAGGAATTATAGTAGAGTCAGCGGATCATGCCACACCACACACACACACGTCACCGCTAGCTACACTGTGTGATCAATGAATTGCCCCTCCCTCCACACACATAACACTGAAGGCACGTCATTATACGTGATTATACTGACCCAGGGTAGAGATTACACGATGATAACACAGCCTTCCATTGTGCGAAGAAAATGAGGGTTATTTATATCATGGCTTCCTGTCGTGTATTTCTTTATTCCTTCTTCCTTCGCCCCTTAAGTGATGAGAAGGGAGTTTCCCGGCTAGTTGAAGTCATGAGTTAAAAATACATTCAACCTAAAAATATATATTTTTTTTTTTATAACTGAATCGAATGGGTCCACAAACAACTTTTGTACACGGCAGAATAACGTGTCTCGCGGCAGTGATAATACACTGTGTCCCGGACGTGTGCACTGCCGAGCAACAAACATACACATTTCCCAAGCCGTTGTTCATTGACATGCCCAAAGTTGCATCACTCTAATAACTGGAACGGCAGTGATAAACGAAAGAAATCCCTAAACAAGTAAAATGATCATCCGTAACAAATGCACAGTAAGTCGATGACTATAAAGTGTAGAGATATAAATACAAAACACGATTTTGTTACTTTTCTTTTGCCCCAGAGGACGCAGCGTCGCCAAGGCCTCTCACTTTGGCCCATTTAGAATAAAGAGACTATATTTATTGTTTAATGACCATGTTATATTCTCTTTTTTGCTTTCTTGTTGAATAACTCATGAAATTTCCTCTCAACATGTGTGTAAGGTAAGGAGATGTGGCGAGGGGCCTTGGTGAGGGAGGGAGTCAAGTCCCCTTCAATCGCAGGCTGCTGTCATCTCTACGTAGCTAGGGAGATCGAAGCGCCGAGGCAGGCCAGCGGCGCCGCTATAAGGCTCAGAGTTGTATGGCTGAGTGAGGGACACTAGACCTTATGACCCTGTCCGCGGGGAGTGCTCGGCAAGGAGACCGCTCAGTACACAAGTGTGATGATGGCGGACGGACGCGCGTCGCTTATTGCTCCTCTCTCAAGATAACTTATCACTTACCCAGGTGCGTCAGATCTTATCTCAGTTCAAGAATAACCTCGAAGTACACCCATGAGTTGGTTGAAAAGGTTTGTGGTGGAGTGAAAGTGGTGTGAAGGGTAGTGGCAGTGTGGGAGTGTTGGCGGCGTTCCCAGCTAGCAGCGACCACGAGTCCTCCTCACAGTGAGCTGGGCGGTCACGGCGCACCACCACTCACACTTTCCTCTTACTAATGGCTACCAGGTACATCCCCGACCCCTGCCCCAGCCATATTGCCCAACATTTCTCGGAATTTAAGGTGTGGCGGACCGTTTTTGGTTGATTGGAGGTAGGTTGTTGTGATGGATCAGCTGGGCTACGTGAGAGCAGGTGGTGGTGGTGGTAGGGGTAGCTGGTGGCTTCAGTGAATCAGATGGTCAAGTAGGCGGGTGATGTGGGCAGGCTAGTACAAGCTCCACCTCCACCACTTGATGACAGCCATAGTTGTTCACCTCTATGTTGGACGGCTGAGGTGTCTCGGCCCAGTAATTTCATGTTAGCCTTTGTGTGCATTGCTTTGTTTATGTTTAATTAATGATCTCTTTTTATTTAAAGGATATGAGAAAGGAATTAAATATTTTAAACACATTTATCTTATTATTTATCACTTCAGATTGTGTTTCCTGGCAGCTTTACATTTTATTAGAGAACTTTGATGGCAGTACATTTGTTTTAATATGATATCATTGCTTAATTCATTTTCAGCATTAAAGTTACCAGCCAATATAGCTACAGTATCAACCTTCACCCATTATTGTTACATGTGGCCCTGTGAGTAATATTTACCTTATAAAGTTAATCATTTAAATCCACAGTAAAATATTTTTTTTAATATTACTATTTAGTGAGAAAATGAAAGTTAGGTTTTAGTAAAAAAAAAATCAATTATCTTCATTTAAGTTTTAGATGTGAATTGATTTTCAAGAATTTAAGAGAGGGTTATATCCGTTATTGTCAATGTTTAATGTAGGCTGTGTTGTTTAATGTAACGTTGTATCAGGTCAGGGGAATTGTTTTTAACACTTATAAAGCCTAAAGCTGTATGGTAGCAGATGTGTACTATACCCACCTTGTATATAACTATGTATGTCTAGTATGTGCACACCAGCTTGTTTGTTTTGAGTATATTTTTCTGAATGGTACACGTTAATCAACCAAATCAGAGCTAATGGCCATAACAAATGAAAAGATTATACAGTACGGTATTTTTATAAGCTGGAAGATACCTGGCACACGTGACACCCATATCATGGTGTAGAGTCACATATTGATGTGTTTTTGGGTGAAGAGGTTAAATGGGTACAAGAGTAGAGTCAATATTACACCCCATACACTCTTGACTTGTGTGTACTATAACCATTGTGTTTGTTGTGGTTATGTGCTAAAGCTGTGTATACACTGGCGTCAATACAGCCGTGCCAGTGTGAGTAGGAGTAGTTAAGTAGCACTGTACAGACAAGACTTAATACAGTAGTACAGTAAGCTTTAACATTTACCAGTTTCCTTTATTTTTTTGAAAGTGAAAGTAATTGAGATACTTTGTTAGCGTAAAGAAACCAACCTTTCTCCTTATGAACCAACTAATCCTAACCTACCAAATACACAAAATAATGTATGATAAGGTAAAACCTTAAGGTTAGGGCTGGTTCAGTGGTGCACCCAGGAACTATATTCTTCATCTTCGTAGAGTACTGTATGAATAAAAGAAAACATTTCTTGTATAAAAATAAACATTTTATGAAAATAAAGGCAGAAATAGATTGAGCATAAAATCTGTGACATCATAACAAATTGGCTAATATGCCTCCCTCACCAGGGGTTCCCAGAGATGTGCTCCTGAGGGGCCAGTTTAGGGCAGGCTGTATGGTAACAGTTTCTTTGAATAATACAGTACTGTATATTTCATATGGTTGTCGTCATAATATCTGTACTGTATTTGGATTTTGTTTATGTGATCATAAATTGTTTCATTTTAATATATTGTACTGAATAGAATGCAAATCCAGTAAAGGAGTAAGAAAAATGTAAAAAATGTCTTTGATCCCATCTCTTTACAGTTGTATGAGACTGTGGTGCTCAAGAATTTCTGCCAGCAGACTAAAGGAACCGACCAAACTTTACTTAACCAGACTAACTTGACAAAAGAACCTCAGGTTATTACAGTACTGTACAATATTTAGTTGGTTGGTTTTATGAACTTTCAGATATAACTTATTTCTCTTCAGGACAATACAGACATGAACCTGTCATTCTTATGTACATTTTTGTAGCTGTGTTCTTGTTATTTTGTACATTTTATTTTTTTAATTTTTAATCCAACCAGACTTATTCTATGTACTGTATTAAAATGAACTTGTACTGTGTGTGAATACCCCGTTAAAAATATTTTGCAAGAAGATTAGGCAACAAAGCTTCTCTATTTCACATCATTAAATACCCTTATGCTAACCTAACCCCTCCAAATAGCACTAGGGTGTGTAATCATCTCGTGAAATAAGCTGAGGTTACTCTTAATATACCCCAGTAGAGTGATAAGGTGTTTTATAATAATTTTCTTTGGGTAAATATACACTACTTTACTGTAATTATCAGGTGTCTCCAAAGTGCCGATGCTCTCACTAGGCCCAGCCATGTCAGTCTTATTTCTTGCTATTTAAGCTTTCAATTTTAAATAGTGTGAAGGTTTTGTTATTCTCATGTACTGTACAGTATTTCATTATTGAGAGTACAAGTCTTTCAGTTTTCGTATCTTGCTCAAACTCTGTGTTGTCTTGAGAATTATGCCTTTATCTAGAGAAAAACCCAAACCTATTTTTCTGGTCTAGATGGTTTTTCAGTGAATTCTTCGGTAACTGACTAAAAGGAGACTTCTTAATACTATACTGTACTGCACATGTACAGTTACTGTGCTTATAAACATTCTCATACAAGACAGAAGTCTCACTAAGAATTATATTTTCTGATTATGCAAGAAGTTTTAATGTTTTGATGGTAATTGGCAATAGTGGTCTAGCCTTAGTACCAGCTTGAGGAAATTTCTTCAAAGAAGATGAAAGCTTGCTGACCACGAGAAATTGACAATAAATGCAGGAAGAATATATTTTGTGTAATTTCACTTTACAGTTTTTTTTTATTTTCCATCAGGATGATCTGCCATGTTTACGTTCTGTGATCAAACTTTGATTCTTTTTATAGGTTTTATTTATTTTTTAGCTACATTTTATAAATACTTTTTCATTAAATGAAGAAAACTAACCCATCTAACCTAACACACCACAGTTGTTATTTTCTATTTTATTCTTCTAATATAAAATAATTATCTTTTTTTTTTGGAGAGTGCTATATAATATAATTTATTGTTTATAAAATGAAGAAAACTAAGCTAGCTAAAATAAGTTATTTTCTATTTTATACTAATAAAGGATAAAATTCCTATCTATGGAAAGAATCATTACCTACAGTCTAAACATGGCATGCATGGCAAAGTTATGCTTCACAGACTTCCTCCGTCAATTTCAGGTGTAAAAATTGACAATATAAACACATTTCTCGTGCATCCATGTCATTTACTCGAGGTAAGATGGCTTTTGTCTACTATAGAGAGATTTGCTCAAGTTGATAGTAAGGCTGGACCACTCTTGTTAAGTATTACCAAATAAACAAACTAAAAGAAAATGTTTGAAAACAGTAGTGCTGACTCAGACATATACCTGTAGTACAGTACTGTAAAAATTGATAGGTGTTTTGTAGGATTTGGGGCACCAGTACAGTTATGGCGTTCACTGCTACTATGCTATCATCTGTGTTTGTATTTGTGGTAGGATATGGTTATGTTGCAATGTGTGTATAGAAGGCCAACATGCCCAGTGCTCTGGCCATATGATACAATATCCCAGCACATAGATCAGCTACTGTATAAGATAATTGTATGTAAGATCTGCACTGATGCATATTACAGTCTTGTAGGAGTGAGTTGTCAGGAGTTATTCATTTTCTTATAGATGACTTTGGTCTTTGTAACTCTGGATTACTTGTTGTCTTGGCTTATTTGTACACTTTATTTATGTTCACAAAGAACCAAAACTTTCGGTCTGTGATTCATTTAGAAGTTCTCTCTCAGTCTTGATTGTGATGCACCTCTTGGTCAAAGTCTTCATCTTCTGATGTATTTGCAATTAGTTAATTTTACCACCACACCACCCCGTTAAGCACAGTACTGTGGTGTCCCTCAGGACTCATTTACTTTAAAACTCGGGTTGAAACACGACAATCCTCTTCAAGGGACGATCTTGTTTAATAATACGGGCGTCATGATAACCAATTCCCTTTGAGTACTACAGATAAGTGAATGATATGATTGCACTCTGTAGATAGATAAGGCAACATTCAAATGGTAAAATGTGATACCTTTAGAAACTGTTTCTCAAATTGGTTACAGTACAGTACTGTATTTGTAGCCAGAGGCCAGTTTGGGGTGACTCATGTATCATTTGACCCAAAGAACCATGAAGTGCTATAGCTGGGTCCTATTCTGAAGATTAACCACTTCTCTTGTGTGTACAGTACTGTAGTTCATAAAAGGGGGAATGTGTGCTAGTTTACTGTAGAGAGGCTAAGTGTCTGTTTCATTTGTTTTTCAATGTTATTTTTGGAATAAGTGACACAGTTCTTGGTTTTGTACATAAAATACTAGTGATTTTACCTTGGATTTTGCAAGAGTACAGTACAGTAATGTTCAGCAACATCCAAAAAGGGGGCAGGTTAGAGAGTTGCCATCATAACCTATCCACATGGGTGTGTTTTATTAAACAGTTTTCTCTTAGTTGTTGGGGACCTGTTGGAGAATTTTAATGGGAATTAATTGGTAAAGTGTTAGGTTATATTATAGAATGTACCATCTCAGAAGAGGTTATGGGTCCATTTTGATTCCCACCTCTTGAATGACCAGAATTTTATATGTTTGTTCATGCTGTGTACTACCATTGAACTTGGCAGAACTTTCAAGGGGGCTTGGTAGTTGGTTGTGTCAGTTTAAGGTCTTATTAAGAGCAATCGAGTTCGTTCATACTCCCTAATATGGACTACTGTACACCTCACCTGGTGTTGACACTTGACCTGTAATATTAGTTGTTAGGGTCTTTGCCAAGGCAGGAATGGGGAGGTTAATGTACATTGCTGTCATAATCATGTAACAAATACAGTAGTTTCTATTTTTTGCTTGCAGTTTAATGTTACGTGGATGTGTGTTGCTGTATGTGACTTTGATTGATGATGTAATCCTTTTTTCTTTCTTTTTTATTTCAGTTTATAAGTGTTTCGTTTCAAATGAACTCAGTGGTCTGAATTAGTACTTGGAGTTCTTGATACTTGCCTCAGTCACTCTGAACCTGGATTGGGGTTAATGGGGTTTCCTGTTAAAGGGAGTTTGGCAAGGAGACCTTTCATTTTTCCTGTGATTGAATTGAAGTTTGTTGTATGGGTGATAGCGCGGTATATTAATATTTTCTCTTCCCTGCTAGACTGTGATCTTCTTCTGTAGATTTATAAACTACTTAGCTATAGAGCACACCTGTGTGTGTCTACCCCAGCCTTGTAATACTGTGTTGTGCAGCCCAGTATCCTGGGAAAAAATTCATCACAATTCTGAGTTTCACCCCAGCTGTGGCACCTTCATAGTCCTTAGGTTGAAGCACTTATGCGGGAAGCTGTTCATATAGTTATTCATTCATTAGTTCACATGTACGAAATACAGAAGAGCTTGTGGAAAATTTACAATGTTATTGTTGGTATCAGCAATATGAATTATGTTGTCTTTTGGCAGCAATCATTATTGCCAAATTCTTAAGAAAAAGATTATTGTTCATTAGATAACTACAAGAAACACAATAGATTTTTTTTATTACTGTACAAAGATTAGATGTGTAACAGAAGCTTAGTATGAATGATCATTTTGAAATGTTTAAAAAAAATATTTAATGAAGGCTGTTGTCAAGATGAACAAAAGTATCTTTTAGGGCTGATGACATTAAGATGTATAACACACGCTACTGACTAGTGATTGTGTAGGGTAATGCTTTATCCGGGATTGTTACTATATACTGTACAGGTTTTTAATGCTTAATAAAAGTACAGTACCTGTACTGCTGTGATAACATACAACACTATATGCATGGTACATTTTGTTTACTTTTGTTGTTTACCTTAGAGGCTGATACAGTACTTTTAATATTTAAGTTATAATTGATGAAATATTTACATCAAGTTGGGTTCATTGCAGATTTAGACGGCAGTTACCACTTCAGATGCAATAAGATGTCAGAGTTAAAACCTACTGTAGAAGATGACTCTGTACCACTTAATCAAGACGCGGTTGCGGAGGAGGAAGAAAACCTCAGTGATATGGAGTCCCACACGGGGAGTGAACGTGATGCCATGTCCGAAGCAGGTTCAGAAACACCCTCCATATCGGACAAGTCTAGCCTCCGCAACTCCCGTTCGGCTTCCAACACCCCAACTAACACGAGATCCACCAGAAGTCGAGATAATCCAGAATTTGCAGCCAAACAAAAATCATTCATGGCCAAAGTTCAAGCGGCAACAGCCGGGATTGAAAGTGGAATGATGAGACCGGATACACCGGGGAAGAGGAAAAGAGACAGTAGTGCCTCCTCCATCCAGGGATCAACTAAAAAGAGAAAATCAGGGAAAGCAGATAATAATGGACAGGTGAGTGAGTCCCTTCTTGTTTACTTACGTGTGATGTGATTTAAATTTTACGGAGTGGATTTCTCTGGCATCTATCATTCTATGTATGGTGATGGAGTGGTTTTTGTACTAGGCTGGTGGTCCATCCATCCCAGGTTTGAATCTTCAGTAAGGAGGTACATTAATGTGTGATTGGTGTTTGCTGTGAGCTAGAACTGTGCAGTACAATATTAGTAATATGATGACATCCCCACCAGCCCGTTGTCAAAGCCCAGCTAGCTTACAAATGTCCAGATATTAGTGGAGGATACAGTATAACTCTCCTGTTTCAACCGTGTGAGACACCAGGCTCACATGAGTGTCAACCTGGGTTGACTTGTAAATGTTCCCTGAAATATACTAGGTAAGTCTAAATTAATATAAGTTACTTTGTTAAGGCACACTTCTATGTGTACCTTTCCTATTTCATTACAAAGTAAAAATGCAAATGGTGTCATGCCTTTAAATTGAGACTATAATTATCTCTTACTGCTACTTACCCTGTACAGTTCTTGTCTGTGTAGCCAGTTGCTAACTGTGGCAATACTCAAGTACAGCTTAGCTATATTAGATGAACACAACTTTATTGTCTGGGGGTGGATCAATGGGTATAGAAGCCTCCAATAAAGGTGGGGAATTGTAAGGAAAATCAGCGTGCCAAATGTAGAAAAAACCAAGAAAGGGCAAAGACTAAAGGTAGAAATTCTGCACCATAACTAACTTGCTACACAGCTCAGCTTTTACGTTTACCTACAGCCACTAAACAAGACTTCCTCACACTGGCAGTACAGAAGGTAAATAACTCAAATTATCTATAGTATTAATTATATTGTAAGGGGAAAGAGAGGACAACACTAAATTATACAGTATTACTCCTCCATGAGTGGTTGACCCCTGAAACCACAAAGCTGTGTTGATATTTTTGTATCTTAACATGGTGTCCCTGAGAGCCCTGGCAGATATTCCACAGATTGATCAGTCACTATAAAGTTATGGCCAAATACTGCTATAGCATGATGTTATGGCCAAATACTGTTATAGCATGATGTTATGGCCAAATACTGTTATACGTAGCATGATGTTATGACATTTATTATTAATCACACCCCTTACTTGGTAAATTGAAATGCATGTTTCTAAGTGTACGGTAACTCAGAGGCATCTGTGATTTGTTCCTGTGGAAGATACTGGGCCAATAACATCAGGGAAAGGTAAGGAGTGTTCTCATGGCAACACCTGTGTGAGGATCCAACACAAAGGTGAAATTCATGTCATTTGACCAAGACATCCACTGTAAAAGTGGTTAATCATAAACAAAACTAGTTGCAGTAAAAATCACAAAACTGTAGTGTGATATTAAAAAACTTACTGGGATAACTGGTGAGGTCATGAACAAAAATAACCTGAGTGGAGAAAGCTATTGAACACTTAACTTTTACCTGTTGAGATGATGATAAAGGGAGTTAACTGGACACAAGCAATGGGGATATTTCATATTTTTGTGAGTATAATGTTACAGAATCATGTACTGTAAATTCCTCCTTTATGAAGAATTAATTAACCAGAATTTGGTTAAACGACCTTTGTGTTTTAGGATATGAAAATTTGGCGAACAAATTTATTAAATTTAGTAAACCAAATTTTGAATGAGTGACAGCTCTTGTGGCAGCCTGAACCCCAGCAAGGCTCACACGCTATTTACTAGTCTGGTTTCAGGTAAATATACACTTGGATCTGTGTTAGTTTTTCACTTAAACAATCAGAAGCTTAAATTCATATTTTAAAAATATTTCCCACTCAGGATGCCTGAGAGGGAATAATAACCATGAAATAAGGTGACTGGATATTATTGTTCATTGTTATATAGCCTTGCCATCTTTCTGTCCTATGTGAGTGCATCATAATGTGTGCACACACACATACCTGTGAATCATAAATGTGTGTTTACACTAGTCACTTATGTTTTAGATACAATATTAAGGAATACCCAAACAATCCTTTTTAAGTGGAAATTACTTAAAATATATACCGTATAGTAAGCGCAACTTAATCAACACCAGTTTTGTGAGGTGAGAAGTGGTGGTGGGTGTGAGGGAATGCCTTTGTCAAATTAAGTTTACTGTAAAGGTATTTAAATGCTTGAGGCTAGAAATACCACCTCATGTTGGCTCTGACAATGGTCATGCTGTATCAGTGGGGGGCCAGTGTAAACTTATTTTCTATACCAACTGTGATAGGCCAACACAACCTCAGCCTTGGTGGGTGCAGATTATTTAGTTTCCACCATTACATCATTATTAAGTTTAATATTAGTGTGGGTTTTTGGGTTGAAAATTTGGGGCTGGATTGCAGATGAATTTAGAGATTATTGTAGCAGATGAATCTTGATGAATCACAAGTTGGGGGACAAATGGGGGTTGCTTAAACTTACTTTACTGGAGTGTCACTTAAACTATTTGGTTTCACTTGTATTTATCTATACAGTTACACTTAAAACTATCATTTGTTTCTTGGTTTAAGCACTCGGAATAGAGGATGCAAGGTGGTAGGCTGGGGGTTACTACCAATTCTGAATCCGAGTTGTAGGGTGAGTGATGGCAGACCCACGGACCCGAGTCCGACTTGGGGGCTTACTGTAGTAGGTTTTTCATATAACTCGGTGAAACCCTGAGTATTGAACACAAGTACTCTTGAACAACCAAACAGTTACGAGCACAGTACTACCTCATGATTTATTTAGAGAATTATCTAGTAGCATGGTTGACCCTCTGTTCCAAGGCTTGTACAGTATACTTAAATTAAAATTTTTCATTGTCACTCAGTAAATTAGTAGTGAATTCATCTGTGTCTTGGCTAACAATGCTCTGAATTTATATTTGTTTACATCTAATTTAAGATTTTTTGTGGTCTATAACAAAAAATTCCCTTTTCCTTGTCATAACCACCACTGAGCAGTAGATTCAGTCATCCTCATTAATCACACCTGAGTGTCACATTTTAAATACCTACTATGTGCTTCAGGAATTATAACTGGAGAAGAAAAAACTAACTTTAAAGATTGTCAAAGGAAGACTGTTGGTAGCATGTTTCGATAAATTAATTACTGTTATAAAGATAATGTAATTTTAGTGCTGTGACATATTTTGAGAGTACAAAACTGTGCAGTATATTGATTTATGTCTTCAAGTGTGGAGCATATGAGCCTGTAAACAATGATACTTTATTTATTGATTTTAAAGTCCAACTGAGACCAGTGAAGTAAAAACTGTATTATAAGAAAGAATTTTGTTTGGTAATTTAATCTTTAAACAAATATTAAATATTTGGTTTGGTGGTTAAGTTCATAATTTGAATGAAACAAATTGAAGAACTGGCTGGTATGAGAAGTTAGCACATTTGTAGTCCCCTAAGAAGTCCAGTGTTAGGTGGCAGAGAAGTTGAATGCTGAGCAATATAATCTACATAATTATGATGCCAGTGTATAATGCTTTAAAGCAACTCTATTATTCTGTCTGTGTATACATGCACTGCAGCTTAATTTTGGCCTTATCATTGTCAAACTTGGTCTTTATGTGAATGTCCACCTAAGGGAGGCAGAATATGGAAGGATTGACAGTCAGTGGTAGTTGTTTTAAAGGAAGACAAAAAGGTACCCAAGGCAGAGGTGCTTGTACTTAAAGACTTCAAATAGAATATGGTGTTATGAGAACCACTGGAAGGTGTGGAGAGTAGGGTGGATAATAGTACTGTACTAGAAAGTGGGGTACAGTGGTAGGAAGGGAAGGAAAATTGTATTATCTGTCCAGTTGTAAATCTGGGAATGAATGGGACAAGCTTTTCAACTATGGCTTTTAAATAAAGAAAATATAATATAAAACTATAAAATAAGAAATATGAGGAGCATGAGTGTGTACAGTATGTGTGGAGGCAGTGGGGGTGTAACTACGTCCTCAGCTGGCCCAGCCCAGTTGCTTCCCCCCTCCCCCCTATGTGACATCATGGCATACACACAATGTAGTGTGACAGCTGGGTGACTGCCCAGCTGAACTGTGATGTGTTGTCCAGTGGAAGGTTTGAGTGTGGAAGCAGTTTTTTTCCATAAAATATGTGCTATTAATACCTATTATATTTTATGGTGTGCTGTGTATCAATTTTATTGTTTATCATAGCAATTTTTTTTCATTTTTGACTTTTGGTGTTAGTAAATCAATTGTTCAACTTCAAAACCACTTGTAATAAACTCTTTTTATTATTAATATTAGGGCATACGGTACTGAATGTTTACTGCTTTGGTGTTTGAACACAACCACATCATTAGACAAAGAATACCTGTTCTGTACTGTATATATATCATATACATGACACACTGTAGTGCATTATATCCCCTTCATTACTGGACGTCACTTCTAATATTTTATTGGCTAATGCCTGGTGATTTAATTCAACACAGACCCCCCAAAGGTTAGAATTAGCAGCTGCAGTTGCCAGACTTCCAAACTGCTTAATATAGAGACACTTATTACCTCATCATTATCATCTTCATCATTTTATTGTCATTTTCTACACTTGTGTGTGTTAGCTGTACTGCACTTGAGAGATTTACCTCCCCATTCAAAATGGAGTTTTTATGTGCCACTCTTATAAGCTATGATCCGTGATCTAACCTGGCAGCTTGCCACAGACTAGAATCTTGTCATGGCTCTGAGGACAGACTACAGTATTTTTATGCTGCTATACTGTACAGCACTGTATTTCCTGTTTACTCTTATTCATCAGCTATATGGTTTAGGTCAGGTATAATTTCATGTTTGAATATATCATTCACAAAAGAACCATAAAATGTGATGGGTAGGGATCAGAGTCAGACAGTTGCAGTCATTCATCTTCAGCATGTCCTACAGTACAGTATTTAGATTTGAAATTTCCTTTTGAATTTAAGTATATTATAAAAGTTGTTGGCTGTAGTAAATTATTTTATCCTTCATATTATACACTTTGTGGCCTTCCTGGCACTAGTCATCACCTCCACTGTGGTTGAGTAGAACCTTACCACTCACTCACTATTACTCAAAATTGTTCAGTATTTTATTGAGAAATTGCATTCTAAATATGTTTTTATTTTTCTCACACCAATTTGAAGGAAATGAATTAATGTAAAATGTGTTAAAACAATTTAAAATGATCACGAGTAATTGAGAGATTGCAACTACCCGTAATGATATACATACTGTACATGTATTTTATATTTTGAGTTATTTTACACTTATATTTCCCATTAAAAATTTAATCATGATTTGCATAAATAAAAGTATAAAAATCAGTCAGACTGATAAAATAGACTTAGCCTGAAAAAGGAATGGGTAAATAAACACAGACACTTGCTTCATCCATTTGCTTTAGAATAACTGAGAAATGCAGCTGCCAGACATACAAAATAGATGCGAACCTATTCCGATAGTCACATATATTCTCAGTGCTTATATGTATAATCTCATGTAAAAAATGTAGAAATAAACTATTCATACACATTTGTATATGAGAATCTTGAAGTGGAGTATATTAAAACTTTATATGCTTATGTGTGTTGGTAGTGGGAAGGTAAAGACCATGCATGCAGTATTAGGGAGACCTGCTCCATTATAGCTCACACACACCCCCTTTTTTTATAGTGCACTATGTATACTGTACAATGTGTTTTTAAGTAAACCATACACCTCATACTTATTTTTAACTTTTAAATTAGACATTATAGGTCTAAAGGTACAGTATATCTATCTGGGTATTTTCTCCTACCCCTGACAGTATTCCCCATTAGACCTGGCCTGTGTCGCTGACAATTCTTTGTGGTCGTGCAGAATTGCATAACAACCTCCATTGTTGACGAGGGGTTACTGTACTGTAGACCACCTAAGTTTTGGACAGTGCTTCTTGATTTAACAAGAATTATGGTCTCTATTTACGATTGGAAGACCGGCTATATTTTTTAACATGATATTTAATGAAGACCTTGGTTGACATATCTTATTCCACCTGAGGGCTAATTTGGCTAAAGTCAACAGCAGTAGAAAAATATTTTCTCCCCCTGTGTCTTATTTGCCTATCTATCTAAGTGTTGAAATCTTTACCACTCTCTTCTGGTGGTCACCACCACATCTCTCAGTGTGAACAACTTGCTGCTCTGGTTCCATGGTTGGCACTTCCCACAGTAGACATTATTTACAAGATATTTACTATACACTGTACTTAAGTTTCTCATTGCTCAAAGTAAACATCTTGTATCTATTTACAACTCCAAATATTTCGGGGACGTGCAAAATTTTCTGTATTACCGTGTACACAATGATGAGTTTCAAAGAATTGTGTATTTTTCATATACAGGCATGTGTGTGTGTGTGTGTGTGTGTATATATATATATATATATATATATATATATATATATATATATATATATATATATATATATATATATATATATATATATATATATATATATATATATATATATATATATATATATATATGAATGAAAATTTTAAGCTTTGGGGATAACTTTGGCAACTGTTTCAACTTTTATTTTAATTTCCTTTGTCAGTTTCAAATATTTATTTATTTTTTTTTTTAGGGGGGGCGGGTAATTGTACTGCAATTTATACATTTTATAGTCATTATGAATGGAAAACTAAATACAAAAATAATAATGCTTTCATTTAGGGGTGAAGAATGGAAGTTATTTGTAGAACTTCCATGAAATCTCTTGTGGCATCCCAAAGGTTGAGAGAAACTACAGAAATGTTAGCCTGGATAATTTTATTATATTTTTTTGTTCAAACTGTTAATTTCTGCCTCACCAGGTAGTGTCAATTGGTGTGGTATGTTAGGTTGGTTATCTATTCAGGGACTATTCATAACCAACTACTGTACTGTAGCTGAGGTGCTATACCTAAAGTGTTTGGGAAAATTATTAAATTTATATTACTTATGGTCTTCCTTGTATGTGACGACACAGTAGTAATCTGTTGTTCCTGTCTACAGTTTCTTCTGACTTTTTTATCTCTATAGTTGGATGTGTCCTCAGGTGTTGTGTTGTTCATGTCACATTCTGGCTTTGTTCCATTTACTGGAACCTTTCATGATTACTTCATGTATTACTGTACAGGTATTCTTTATAATTTTGGGTGCAAGTAAACATCATTTATGCCATTTTTTAGCATTGTGGACTTTGTGGATATAAAGTTGAGGAACAAAGCTTCATACAGCACAATGCCGAGTGAGGGACAGTGTCAGTGTTGAAATAATTTTAACCTTAGCATGACTGCCAAGGTTATGTAGCTATCTCATTTTACCGTTCTTACAGCGTCATTGATGAGAATAGTGACGTGAAGATATCCTGTAGTGACCCCTATTGTTATAGTATAGTACTTTTAATTACTCGTAGGCTAATGACCATAATAATTTTTTTAATAATTTCCAGTAACTATTTAAGGTTGAAGGTAGTGAGCATTGTCAGATAATAGATATTGTGTAGCTAGAATAAACCTTGTATAGGCTATTAATTTTACTAAAAGTTTTGCAAGTTATTTAGAGGCATATGAGTCACTCTCTAGTAACTTGTGGCTTGTTGTGTTATCACTACCTTTTTGTGAAGAAGAATGCACCCTGCATTTACCAAATGTGTGTGTGAATGTATTTCTTTTTGTAGGCATATTTAATTATGACGTGTTGTCTGCTGTAAGTTCATTTATATAAATATGATTGGAATGTTCATCTAGTTAAGTTTTCAGAAGTGGCTTGAAATGAATATACTGTACTGTACAGTATATGGTTAACCTTGATCTGGAGTTTATACCTTGAATATTGTTTTCCTAAACTAGTAACTGGTTGATATTGTATATGTATGGTGCACCAGCAAACTGATTATTGGCATGGGGTTTGTGTTAGGTGCCATAGTATGATTAAAGTTACTCACACCACCAAGTATCAGTTTCAACTGGCTGATCTCATAGTACCAAACATGGGGCACCCTAGCCTCTGCCTCCAGTACCTTCAATTCAGACTGGTGCCTTGTTCATTGCTACATAAATAAAACCTCTTCCCTCATGCATCTGATTCCTTATAATCTTTCTTGGGAATAATATCACTTGTAAAGGTAATTTTGCTTCACCAGTCTTCCTCAACAACTTTTCAGATCATTATCCTCATTTATTCCATTTTTTATTGTCTCGAGGTGAACTGCATGAAGTCTGATAAAAGTAATGAGATGTGAAGTGCTTAGTATATGGTTGTGTTGCTGCCAAACTTTTGGTAAAAGATTAAAAAACACTTATCCAGAAATTTTCCTTGTAGAAAACTGTGTGAAAAGTAGACAGTCTATCCTTACATATTATTTACAGGTACTGTACTTTGAGACAGCTCAGGGCTACCAGCTCTTAACTCTTGTAACTGTTTCTATTTACTTGAGAATAGAGCAAGATAGACAGACACCTCTGCTCTGTCCATCTGTCATTACTATTAGAGTTATCACTACTGTATACATTATGCTGTTAAACCCTAAGAGGGATTTTTAAGATAAATGTTGAATTGTAGAGGAGGAGCAATATTTTTTCTAAATTGTTGAGCTATCCAGCATTTTAAGTTAAATACTATACATGTTTTGACTCTTTTGGTGAAGATTTAACATGAAACGGAGTTGACTGATATTGTGATGGCACAGCTTGAGACTGCCAAGATGAAGAATGATTTACAGTACAATGTATACGTATATATAAATATACACAAGTGATACATTTACTGTATTTACTGTCAGATTGTATTATTTACATTGCTATTATTTTACCATGGTCCACAGTTAAGGTTCTTTGCCTCTTTTTTTTTTCAGGATTACCAGAATGATAATTATTGTTGGGAATGTCATCGAGAGGGAGTTTTTATCTGTTGTGAAATGTGTCCGAGAGTTTTTCACTTGAAATGTGCAGGGATGGAGAAGGAGCCCGAGGAGGATTGGGCCTGCAGTGAATGTCATGCTGTAATGCAGGCAGAAAATATTGAAAACAGGTTAGTTCCTCATTATTGTTGTGTAACATTGTACTATAGTTAGGTTTTCCTTCTATTTTCATTATTGTCCCTTTTAATTCTGTGAGACAGCCTTGAGAATTATAGTTATTGCTTTTAGTTATACTGTACTGTAGTTGTTGTAGTAGTCTGCTTAGGTCTGCATTGCTCTGCCTCAAGGGAACGAGATTGTCAGCCCCAAATCCGACAATGGTCGCAGATATTGACTATGTGTCAACAGTCACTGAATACCGCATAGATCTGTGGCTCAACTAACTCAACACACCTAGGGTAGCTACTTTTGTATTAGGATATCTAATTTTAAGGTAATAATTGGCAGTGAAGGTGTGGCTATTGGGAGAGGCTGGAGGCCATGTTAAAAAAAAAAGAAGAAAAAAGTAGTACAGTAAGTCCTCATATAACGTCAGCCTGCTTAACGTTGCTTCGGTACTACGTTTCTAATCTATAGATACCAAAAAAAAGTTTAATGTTCCGATGACTCGGTACAACATCGTTTTGTGTTGTCACAGACTATTTACGGTGCATCACCTTTCTCTTGTCTGGCCGCGCTACGCTCTCAACTCGGCAGAGTCTCAGTAACTCGCCACCCTTTTCCTTCGCTCCAGCCATGCTCCTCCCCTCCCCGCCATGCTCCTCCCCTCCCCGCCATGCTCCTCCCCTCCCCGCCATGCTCCTCCCCTCCCGCTATGCTCCTCCCCTCCCGCTATGCTCCTCTCCTCCCGCTATGCTCCTCCCCTCCCGATCCGCCTCCTCCGCTTCACACTCGCTCTACCACCTCCGCCCATTGGTGAGTACTAATACAAACTTAGTATTGTAGTTGTATATGTATGCACTATTTTCTATAGAAATGGCAATGATTTTTTGTATATGTAATGTATTTCATGGGGCAAAGGGAGGCTCAGGAACATAACTCCCGTATTTTATCTATTTCTTATGGGGAAAATTGATCCGCTTTAAATTGTTTTAAAAAGTTGCATTTTTAGGAACGTAACCCTGACGTTGAGAGGACTTACTGTAGTAGTAGTACAGTAGAAAGTCAATTTAACGCGAGATACGCTCCAAGAGAGGTCGCATTAAATCCAATTTGCACTAAATCGAAGTGTTGTTTCAATGGAATAATTTAGTTTGGCCCTTGAGAGAGAAACAAAATACTAAAAAGACTTATTAACTAATAAATACAGTATTAGAAAAATATATGGCGTAATAATATATATGCAGCAAGCAGTCGAGTTGAGAGCTGGACAATACTGCTACTGTGTGGTACTGCACTGTACTGACTGCTGCTTTGTGCTGCATGTCTTCTACCTATAACTTGAGTGCATCTTCCATCTCACCATACATAGCAGACTTCAGGTGGAGTTAACCCTTGGCAACATCTGGTGAAGTATAGGCTGCTCTAATTTTCTTCTCGTTGAGTTTGAAAGTGTGGATGGAGCTCTCCGACAGTCCAAATTGGTGTCCCACACTTGAAGCACCACTTCCTCGCTGTAGTGCTTCCAGCACCTTGTTTTTCTGCTCCAGTGTAATTGCTTGCTTTGATTTCTTGGCCTTTGGGGGTAGTTAATGATGCAGTGGCTGGCCTCTTGGACATAGTGGCCATGGTTGATGCACGTGGTAGAAGGAGATAGTGTCACACAGTATGTCCGTTCACTTGAGTGTCAGCGTGAGAGCTGAGGATGTGGGAGGGTGGCGGGCAGCCTTGTAGCGTGCCCAGAGAGGCGTCTGGCGGGAAACTTTAGGCGCGAAACTTAAAATAGCGTGTATTTCCATATGACTCGCCAGATTTGACTTGTGTAAAATAGGAAAGATTCGCTTTAAATTGATACGTTGTCCTTAATTGTGGATGTCGCTTTAAATCAATAATTTTTAATCGATTCGCGCTAAATCGACGTTCTGCTGTAGTAGTTGTAGTCATGTCTCAAAAATTGATAGTTCATTTCTTCTGAAATTTCCTGGGTGATTTGTTCCATACAAGATTCTCCTTGAGGAGACCTCTTCCTCTGTAACTAACAAATGTGTGTTAATATCTTGACAGGGCAAACTATGCTATTTTTCTTGCTTCCTTATTAAGCTGCTCGCTGAACACCTTTGTTAACAGATAACCACTGTTGGTGATATTCCTTTGTTTATGGGTGTCCTTGTTGTGGTTCACTCAATTGTACTGTACAGGACATTATTTATTACTGCCTTACCCTTCCATAACACTCAATGTTCACCCCTCATTGTTTGGAGTATTTCTTCTTAGATCACCTCATATTATCTAAATACTGTACTCTTGTTTATAACACCTGGACTGTGCACCTGTTATAGATGCAGCCCCTAACATTATATGAAAACTTCTTTATAACAGAGCTAACAAGGTACACATTATTTTTATTACAATACAATATAGATATCTTAATTATTTCTACATGCCCCGTATTTATTTTGATTTTATATACATATATACCTGTTCCTGTATTTTCCAGTCTATACCTTTTTAGTAAGTGTCTATTTGCCAGTGTCATCATACTCCTGCTATCATAGATGATGATGTTATCAAGAATTACCTTTTCTTGATAAGTCTTTTAGTGTATTTTTTTGGAGCTCCATACAGTAATTAATTCATTAGATATACAGTACAGGTATTTGGAATATATCAGTTATGTAGAGAAGGTGAGCCTCTTTATGTACTGCTGTTGAACCTTTATTTTCACGCCCTCCCATTAGCTCTCACTCTTCATGGTATGTGTCGATTTCTTCATTGGTCATATCTTTATCTCATTTCTTTGTCTCTTCTCCTCTCCTCTTCTCTTCCTTCTCTTCATCCTCCCCTTCTCCCTCTTACAGTACAGTATCAGTTAATCTGCTTGTATCCCATTCACCCCAACTAGAGAACATACAAATATATTTAGTAATATGCTTCACTTGAATATGTTTCTCCACCTAACAAATAACAGAATAGGTTCAGGTTTCTTTGTCAAATGTAAAGGTGGCTGAAGAAGGTCAAGTACAGTGTATATTATGGGATCACCTGAAAATTGGACACCTCAGTTTATTTCACCTGAAGATTAACCACACTAATGCTTCCTGGGGGGTAGGTTAGGTTAGGTCAGCATTAGAGTGGTTAATCTTCAAGGTGATCCATAGTATGTACTGCAGTATGTACTCTTGTTACCTATGCCCTTAAAATGGTAGATTCTGATGCTTACTGTACTTGATATTTCTCTCTTTAAATTTTTCTTTCATATAATAAGAGGGCTTTTAAAACCCCTGCCCACTCCATCTTTATTGCACTTCCATCAGTTTGCCTCTTATAAAATAATACTTTTGTTCTGCCATCATCCCTTTTATACTTTTCTGCATCAGCATCAAGACATTTTGGAATCTCTTCCTGATCTTGTTTGTACTGTAGTAATGTTTCCCCATTATCTTAGCAGTGTGTCTTGCATTGCCCTCCACATACTGTACAGTGTTTGGTAATATCCTATCTCGGGTATTTTGTCATGGCAAATTAGCAGACTAATACTTCCAAGCTTAACTTTTCCTTCTCTCATCACCCAGTCTGTCCTCTACAGCTACGTGGTGTTTAGACTGGTGATCGAGAATAGTACTGTAATGGTAGAGCCACTTTCAGAACTCATCAGTAGTTGGCTGGGTAGCAGCATACCAGAGGCCCATCCACTAATTCCAAGGTGAAGGTGCAACTGACATACAGATTAGTCCTGAAGCCAGGAAAGAAATGGCATTATAGCCACCATAAATAAATACAAAGGTAAAAAAAAATATATATCAAGAGGGAAAAATTATATATACAGTATTTTGTGTTGTCGTAGCAAGAGTAACAATTGAGACCTTGCAATTATGTGTAAATGAGGCAGAAAGTCAGATCAGCAACCTGGGACTTGGTCAGAGTTTTTGTGAAGCCATATGGTTGCAGAGTCTACCATTAGACAACACATTGTGCTTCCAATATATTCCCAGGTGGTAGTACCTCCCTGTTTGATAGCTGCCTACTATCTTTGTATGCAACGGTTCCATTTCTGAAGAAAAAAAATATATAAAATTAGTAAATCTGAACCCGTTTTCCCAGAGACTTCCATTATAAAGCTGACAAACGTTTTTACAATGAAAACTATTTCCCAAAAGATTTTAATTGCAATTTTAAGTGTAAATAATGATTGTAGACCGATTATAAACATAATAAGTGGTATGCATACGTTACAGTACAGTATTAATGTTATACTTGAGAGAAATTTTAGTGTGTGTCACCTCTTGAGAAACTGTATTACCACAGTAGTTGTGATGCAATGCAAGACTGCAAGGCGTAGCCAAGGCATGTACAGTACTGTAGTTTTAATTTCTAAGTGGTGCACCAACAGCGAGTCTACTGCACTGTATGTACATACATTTTGTGAGGTTTTTGCTTTCACTGGATTTGATTTTAATGAGGTTTTATCTGAATAAGAAATTCTAAACTTAGTCATTTAACATTTAATTCTTACCACAGACATTATATCAAACTCTTAAGATACTAAACACGTCAGCATTCCCACGGTGAAAATATGATGAGTCAGCATCTTGCCACTGCTTCATGTAGCAATCCTGTGAGACATGATAACTAAAAAATACATTAAATTGATTTATAGCTTTGTTACTCTTAATACAGTACATTAAAGTATGACTCTCTCTCTCTCTCTCTCTCATTGTACATACTGTATACCAAACGAAAGCTCAACGTTGTATTTTGAATCATGACATCTTGATGGTACCATTGTTCTTGGATCCCATTGGGGGTATATCTGCCAATCTACAACATATCTTTACCCCCAAGTACAAATAATAATATATCAGATTGTATGTTTGTTTCTACTGCCCAGACAGACATCTGGATTCCAGCTAGAGACCATACAAAAGAGGGCTTGAAGTACCTTACACTCGAGGCCTCATCCTGTTAGTTGATCCTCAAATTAACAATTGACAGTAGTATAAGATTATAAATA